GTGTGTGTGTGTGTGTGTGTGTGTGTGTGTGTGTGTGTGTGTGCGTGCGCGTGTGTGCGTGCGTGCGTGCGTGTGTGCGTGTGTGTGTGTGCGTGCGCGTGCGTGTGTTAGTACGGATCTATATGGCGGTGACTACACTGACGGCTTACTAATCGATAAATTAATTAATCACTGAGAGATATCACTGCATTACGATTTTACGATTTTGGAGAGAGAGAGAGAGATAGAGATGAGATAGCGGTCACGCGCCCACGCACTCTGGTATATTTGTCTGCGTGCGCGTGCTTGCGTGTGTGCGTGTTTATGTGCGTGCGCGTGAGAGCGTGTACGCGCGCGTGCTTGCTTGTGTTTGTATTTGTGTGCGTGCGTGCGTGTGTGAGTGTGCGTGCGTGCGTGTGAGTGTATGTTACAGCCTTGGTCGTACATGCTATAGTCGTAGAACTCTATTAGATGCTTATTATACGGATGATAAGAATGATGATATAAAGGTAACGACCTTTCTGCTCTTTATTCTCCAAAACCAGTACACGACACAAGCGCGCATCCAACGTCACATAGACCTAGACACCCGCGTTCACGCGCGCGCACATACACGCGCGCGCGCACATACACGCATGCACGCACACACACGTGCGCGCGCGCACACGCGCAAAAACACTCACGCAAACACACATGCACTCACGCGCGCTCGCGCACACATACTCACGCACACCCCCACACACGCACACACTCACACATGCACGCACGCACTCACACTAACACTCACACACGAACGCACACACGCATATACACACGCACGCGCAAATTCACACGCACGCACGAACGCAGGCGCACACGGATAATTTATTGCTAATATGACGAGAGCGATATATAGCAGGAAAAGCTAACCGAGAAACACGCGCAAACACACACATATCAGCTAACCTCCTCCTACACTACATGCATGGCAACGCGAGAAGATTTGATTTCATTCTGACATAATATATGCTGAATATCGCTCGCTCGCAATAGACAACGAACGCGCATGCGCACTGCTAACGAATACGAATACAATAGTCTTTTACAGCTATTTTTCCATATAGTAACGGTCTTCTATATATATCTACTTATAATTTACCAACTTACATACAAACGACTCGACATTACATCGTTAAACGATTCCAAATGTTTTTCACCAACAGAAAGTCACGCCATGATATTAAAAAGAACGCATTATCGTTTTCACGATACATCCATGCGCGCGATTGACCCTTGACCCCCCTGTTCACGGTCGGGTGACGTCAGAATCACTTACACGGGGAAAAATACACGCCGCTGGCCGGTATTTTCTAACATTGCGGTGCCATCGCGCACCGTGGGAAATGTGTGGATATGCCTCGTGTGTTAGAGAGTGAGGAGGGGAGAGGGAAAGGAGCGAGCAAGGGATGGAGAAATAGAAAGACAGGGTGAGAGCGTGAAAGAGAGGAGAGGAAAACGAGAGCAACCGAGACGAGCGAGGGAGAGAGTAGAGAGAGAGAGAGAGAGAGGAAGATGGAGAGAAAAGAGAGAGAGAGAAAGAAACAAGCAGAGAGCAAAGAGACGCGAGCGAGCGAGAAAGAGAGAGCAGAGAGAGAGAAAAAGACGAGAGCAAGCAGAGCGAGCAAAAGAGAGAGATAGAGAGAGAGAGAGAGAGAAAGAGAGAGAGAGAGAGAAACACACACACAGCCGTGTGAGACTTTATCAGCCACCATCGCACGCTCGCATATCATTTCGCGTCGTTCTCCTTCTGACTGTCGTTCTTGCCGCCAGGGGCGCTGCTGCTGCCGAGCCGATTCAGATTCTTCGGCGACTCGAAGCCGCTGTCGCGCGTGCTGTCCATGTGATCGCGCGCGTCGGTGACGTCAGCACGCGTCGCCGTGACGTCAGCGCGCGTCGACGTGACGCCAGCGCGCGTCGACGAGACGTCAGCGCGCATTGCCGTGACGTCACCGCGCGCGACCCTGTTCGTCGTCGGGCGCGCCGACGACGCGACACCCGGCGTCCGACGCTCGCCGACGTCGTCTGTCGTCGCGTCGGCGGCGGCGACGGCGACGGCGGCGGACGGCGGTTCCCTGTGCAGGCGCGACTTCGCTGCCGACCGCGACGACGGTTTACCGACGCTCGGCTGTCTCTGAGATTTCGCGGCGGCGGTGGCGGCGGCGGCGGCTGCGTGCGTCGGCGACGGCTCCTTGCCGACGTGCTCGTGGTACTTCCGCCAGACGCGGTCGGCGTGCCCGACGACGTTCACTCCGCTCTCGCACGAGCGGTGCGCGGCGGCGCGACGCAGCGACGACGACGACGACGATACGCGTATCTCGTCGTCGTCGTCGTCGTCGTCGTCGGCGGCGGCGGCGTCGGCGGCGGCGGCGACTTTGTCGGCAGCGTTCTCGTAACAGCTGTAGAACATCGGATGCACGGTCGCCTCGGCGAGCGTGACGCTAGGCGGCGCTCGCTCGGGACTCGACAGCGGGCTTCCGCCGCCAGGGGCTCTGCCGTCGTCGGCGACGCGACGCCGCCTGGCGGGCGGCAGGCTGCGGCCCTGGTAGAGTTCTTGCTGCGCGTGCAGTCGTTCGAAGAGAACGTCCATGTTGACATCCGGAGGCGGGAACTGCGCGGAGAACGTCGCGTAGGTGGCGCTGGTGGCGGCGGCGCGGCTGGGCGAGCCAGGTCCGACGCTGCTGCTGCTGCTGCCACCTCGCGGCTCCTTGTTCTCCTTGCTTTTGCCCATGCCGAAGAGTTTGCCGAGTAGAGACCGCTTCTCGGCTGAAGAGGAAGAAGAGGAGGGTTGAAAGTGTGAGTGACACACACACACACACACACACACACGTACGCACACGCGCGCACACTCGCACGCACATACACACACACGCATACAAACACTCACACACGTACGTACACACACGC